GAAAGACCTTTGAGATGTTTTCTTGAGTTCGGGGGGTAGATTATGAAAAGGGAAGGTGTTAGCACCCTTTTCATCCATGGTTTTCCATGGGCTCTTAGTTACTTGCTAGATCACTTTCTTTTTGTTTTGAAATTATGCTTTGTGTGGTTTTGAAACTATTTTGTAAAAGAGGCCATTATTTAGGCAATCTTTGTAATGATTCTCGTTCGTAAGAATGTATACAAAGATGTTCGTCTTTTTGAAAATGTTTTCAATGTTTGTAAAATGTTTGAAAATTTGTGTGTTTATTTTTGAAAATAGCAAGGATAGTTGTTTGAAAATAGAGCAAGTAACTAAAATCAATCTACCTACGCAAATGTCTTTCTTGTTCATTTTCTATTCCTTTGACATTGTTGTCTTACCGTTGATTTGGTAAGCAACCCTATCTTTGGATGTAAACGGGATGGGCGTGGGTCATCGTATAACCATTATTAGCAATGTTGCAAAGTATCTTAGCTTTTTTGAGAGACCAAGATCATTTTGTAAGGCAACTTTGAATAGCGTCATCGAGGGACTATGATCTTATATTTGTTTGTTTTGCCAAGATACTCCGCATGCGTAATATGGCTATTTTTGTACAAGGCAACCAAGTGGAGAAACCCTAAGTATGCTTGTGTGCAAGTGTGTTATTTTCATGCCTTGATTTTGTCTTGAATTTAGGGTTTTCTATTTGTTTTTTTTTATCTTACCATACAAACCCTAATTACTAACATGGCATGTAAAGCGGTAAATTGCGTAATGTAAAGATTATTAAGCTATTATAACAATTTATGGGAGGGGGGAATACAAATTTGAATGGGGATTTGCAAGAATGTAAATCTAAATAAATTATTACAACCAAATCGAATTTGTACGAATATTAGAATAAGTAATATACAATATTTAAATATGCAACATTATGTGCATGCAAGAAAAGATTTTTGTTTTGTTTTTTATGTGAAAATAAATTTAATCTAATCCTAAAATATAAGGAAAATAAATTAATTCTTAAAAAAAGATTAACCCTAATTTCTAGCTTAAAAAGAAAATGAAGTTATTATGTATTATTTTTGTGTATTTTTGTATTAAAAAATAATAAATAATATTTTATAAATATATTTATTTTTTATATATGCCAAAATAAATATTTTACAAGTATGAAATGAAAAGAAAATAAAACAAATTAAACTAAACCTATTTTATTTAAGTTTACAAGTTTATTCAAGAAAAAGAATTAATATATAGTTTAATAAAATATATTTTTTAATGTGAAAATAAAAATAAAATAAACAAATGCAAAATTATCACATTTCATATTTTTTTATGATTTTTAGGTATTAAAGAAATATTTTTTTAAATAAAAATGAAAATGAGAACAAATAAATAAATATATGAAAATAGTTTGGACCAGGGGTGCTGTAAGGAAATTGGGAGCAGTATGTTAGTAAAAAACGCTAGGCCCAAAGAATCAAGCCCATCCTGCAAAAACAAGCCAAAAATGAAAACTGAAAATTGTGAAAAAACAAAAGGTAGCGCCAAGGTTCGAACCCAGGACATGGGTCTCACCAGCGCGCTACCTTGCCACTGGGGTGGCTATACATCAGTTGGTTAATGTGAAAAAAAAATAACATAACACAAACAAAGCCCTTGCCCTGTACTTCGTCTTTTTCCTCTAGTCAGTCATATGCTCTGTAACTTTCTCATTTCTCCATGAAAATGAAAACTCATAACATGAATGTTGTAGCATTTTGTCTCACGATTCCAACCATATAAATTATGTAAGCTAACAATCAAAGATCAAGATGAATTTTAAAAGCCCTAAATCTAAACCTAATTTCTCCAGAAACTTAAAGTTTAAAATTCTCTCAACTCAGGCTAAATAAATGCAAGATATATATATATATATATATATATATATATATATATATATATATATATATATATATATATATATATATATATATATATATATATATATATATATATATATATATATATATATATATATATATATATATATATATATATATATATATATATATATATATATATATATATATATATATATACAGCTTTGTAGCAATGAGGTCTACGTTGTTTATTCACAAATCGTGGCCAATGGATGCCTGTATGAAGAGATAGAAGTTGAGATTTTTACATCTTTCAGTTGAAATCGTGGATGGAGTTGGAGTGAGTTTTATGAAGGCCTGGTGATTGCTTGAGCTTGCTTGAACCTCCCTGAGTGTGTTCCAATCCTTGCCTTGCTTTGGAAGTGCCTGGAACTCTCTATCCAAGTCAACCTGCAAGCTTTGAAAACAAAAATGGCAGATGATGGAGAAGGAGTTACAGTACAGGGATGAGGGTCTGGATCAGTTAGATATCAAGTAGGTAAAGTGTTTTGATGATTGAAACTTGAAACGCACGAGCCAAATGATGGATTGCTAGGCTTATGCAAAAATCTGCAAGTTTTGACAGTTTTATGGTGAAAGGGAGTTTGAGAGTGTTTTAAGCCTCTAGAAATCGTGTTTCTAATTGTAATGTGTTTGGGTATTAGTATGGGATCAGTTTAAAGTCAGCTCTCCAACAGATTTGTAAGTTCTATCCTTTTGGCAACCTTTCTTGCTTTTGAAGCAAAGTGAAGAGACAAGTCTTCACATGCTTGTACTGGCATGCTTAGGGTTGGTATATGCTTTGTATAATTTGCTTTAGGCCTGTAAGACTTATATGTGCAATGGAGACAGGTTCAATGCTCAAGAATTGGAAAGTGGCAAAAGTTGAGCTTTTTCAAAATGGCAATGGCCACTTTATGCCATGGAATTACAACTTAGAAAATGGCTCTAGGGCTTGGATTAAAGCTTTTTCAACTGAGTAAGCATTAAATTATGGAGTAATAAACAAGTTTGGGAACTGTAAAGCATGGATTAGGCAGCATAGGTACTGATTGGAACTTTGTTCTTCATGAAATGGTTTGAATCAAAAGTGAGAGATTGTCAACTTCATCTCTTTGATTCTCCCTACTCAAAAATGATCTTGAGGAGTTCTTGGACATTTTGGAAATCTTGAAATATTCTATATAACTCATCTTTGAAATGAATTTCAAGACTGCTCTTGGAACTAGGTGAAAAATATCCATGAAGTTGGGTCCAAAACCTGCCTAAATTAGGGCAAAATTTCACTAAGTTATTTAGTTCATGAGCATGTATTCATAAAATTATATCTTGAGATACAATAATCTTTAGGGAAAAGTATGTGAAGAAAATTTGAAGATTTCTTGGAGGTCTACAACTTTAATGTTGGGAACTTCCTTTGAATCATCTTGCATCATGGCGAAAAAATGGCCTAAAGTTTAGAAAAAACAAGAAATTTTCTATACTTAGAAAAATTTCTAAGTTAAGAAAATTTTCAATTTTAAACCCTAATCTTCAATCCTTGATTTCTTGATGAACAAGTTTCACATTTTGACATTTTTTGATGAATTGTGACTCTTGGCACTTGATTTTGACCAAAAAGTCAAAGTTTGACTTTTCAGTGTACAATTGACTTTTGATCAGTTGATTGCAAATTTCATCTGTCTATCCAATGGATTTGCAATGTTTTGAACCATGTATTTAGGTCAAGATGATACAAATGAAACCTTGAAATCATGCTTCAAATTAATTGGTCATTTTCTAGGTTAAAAATCAGAAATTGCCCTTCCTCGGTCAAAACCCTAATTTTGACCATTTTGCCCTTTTGATGATTTGATCAAATTTCTTAAGGAATTGTAATCCAAACTTGATCAAATGATACATATGAGTCTAGAATGTTTATGTGGATCAAAAATTATGAAGTTTGACTATAAATTGGCCATGGTTGACTTTTTCCCCAATACAACTGATTTTTAGGTCAACTGTCCAATTGACTGATCAAAAAAGTGGTTCAAGGCTTGAAACTTGTCACGAGTAATCTTAGGGGTCCATAATGATGTTTGAAAGTCATATGAAGCATTGATAGTCCAATAATCCTTGTGCAAACTCAAACCCTAATTTTGTATTATCAGTGCAAGATGAGATGTCTTGAGCTGACTAAACCCTAATCTAGTCTTGAGTCAAAGAGATCTTGTGAGAAAAGTCTTGATAAATGAGAGGGAAAATTTTGGGGTACAACAGTTGGGGATGCCAATCTTTTACAAAATTTTCTACAAAGCTCTCTATTCAAGGGTATTATTAGCTTTATGGATGTCAAGTTAGAGCATACACCTGGGAGTTCCACTTTTCCTAATGTATCCTCTTATCAACTTATAGGCAAGCATAATGTGGTCACTAATACTTTAGCCAGAAATGAAAGCTTCTTGGTTATGGCTTATGATGCTATGCATGACACTACCTAATCTTTTTTGTAAAGATTTTAGAGATGACCTTATATATAGTAGTGCAACATGATATGGGCCTATAGTCCTTGATAGTTTTTGCTGAGTTATCTTTAGGAATTAAAGTCACAAGAGTACAATTAACAGCCATATACATCCTCTCCTACAGGCATAATTCCATGAAAGCTTCACTGACATCCTTTTTCATAATATTCCAGAAGGCTTTGAAAAATTTGGCTCTAAAACCATCAACACCGGGGGCCTTAAAATCACCAATGTCCTTCAAAGCTGCTATAATTTCCTGATTAGTTACAGGGATTTCCAGGGAATTTCTTTGGTCATTAAAGAGTTGGGGGCCACCCCTCATGGCACTAATATCTATACCCTACAGATTCAAGTCACTCTTTCCCATAAGATTACCATATAGATCCATAATATCTTTTTCAATCTCACCCTTGGATCCATGTAAAGTGCCATCCTCCTTGTAAATTCTTCTAATCTCTGATTGCTTCTGCTTAGCATATGCATGGAAGAATCTGTTGTTACCATCCCCCAGTCTCAGCCAGCTAATTTTGGCCCTCTGCATCAGAATATGCTCTTCAGTTTCACTCCACTTAGTAACATTTTCAGTGCATTACTTCACTGCCAGGATCAGATTCTTATTCATCTTGTCTTGCATTAGCTTATTCTGAGCTTCCAACAAATCCTGTCTAGATTTCTTAAGAGTGTTATTTATACTAGTCAAGGGCTTGCTTAACTTTTTAATCAAAGGTTGTAACCTCAGGAGCTTCTTCCAAATCCTGACCATAGAACTCCCATTCAAAGGTTTCTTCCAGTTCCCCTCCACAACTGCAGCATAGCCATCCACATCAATGACCTTATTCAAAAATTTGAAATTATGCTTCCTTCTGTGAGTAACCTGATTCAGTGGCTCCAGGCACAGTAGAGCATGAACTGAAATTCTAGGAGGAATGATATGCAGGTTTATTGTCGTGTACATTTGTAACCAGTCCACATTTGCCAAAGCTCTGCCAATTCTGGAATATATGACCCCATCCACATGCTTGTTAGACCACGTATAATAGTCACCAATATTGTCCATTTCATAAAGCCCTGTGTCTTTCATCATTTCTTTCAAATCCTCGTACTCCTTCTCCATGACCAAACTGCCCCCAATTCTAACATTAGCTTTCAAGAAATTATTTAAATCCCCAATTAAGATCTAAGGTCCCTGTTGGTTTTGTGAATTTGAGCTATATCTTTCCAAAGCATTTTCCTCTGATCCATTTTGTTTATTGCATAAATTGCAGTAAACCAATGTAAGAACTTGCCATTAACATCATACACACCACCATGAATAAATTGTATAATACTCCTATATGTTAGACGATAGGACGTATCTAGACGGGGGGGGGGGGGGGGGTTGAATAGACACCATGATTTTTAAAAGGAGTTTTTAAGAAAACTTAAAACACGGTGAAAGCTACCCAGATACAGTCGTCTAAAAACGGTCCTCTATTGAAAAAAACGAATATACGTAAAAACGAACGAAATGAATCAATGAGAATTATTAACACTTAATTCAATTATAATTGATCACTTTTACTTTTTAACTGTTGTCAATTACCCCAGTGAATTATTGAGTATAAAACCCACAAATTTTCACTCTTGGACTTTTATCTAACACTTGGTGTGCATAATCACACCAAGTCTAATCTATCTTAATTTGTAGTGTTAAAACCAATTATATAACTCAAAGAGGGTTAAAAATAACAATAATCAATACAATTAAGGTTAGACAATTATCTACTTTGGCAATCAATAACTCTAACAAACAATCACATAAAGAGATGTTAGAGAAAGGCATAACAAAGGGAAAAAAACATAAATAGACACCAATCACATAGTTTAGTTACAAACCGGTGTTCAAACAGAGACAAACACAAAGTAAGTCATAATCCAAAAATAATTAATCAACAAATACTAGCCAAAGTTCATGAAAATATAAAAGTACAAGACCAAATAAAACATTAATTTTCATCACTCTCATTTCCTCCTTGTGGTGGTGGATTTGATGGTTGGTTAAAAGGGAAGTTTGCATGAAATTGTTGGTGAATTTGGTGAAGTTGTTCGCTTGAGACTCCATCATCCCATACAAAGTATTGTATCGTTGATCTTGAATGGTAGAGTGTGCGTCAAATTATTCACCGTGTACCCTGACATGGTCTGATAGAGTAGTAAGTCTCTCATTTACAAGCGAAGAGTTCTCCTCCTGTTGAAGACGCATAGACTCAAGCAAGTTCAAAATGGTAGCATTGTTTCCACCCGACACTTCATCTTCATCCATGGCAGAAACAATCTCACCTTCCTCATTTTATTCATCATGTTCCAAATCACTATCATCTCCTTCCTGCAAGCACACATTATTACTTCTTACCACATTTCGACACCGTTGCTGATTCACTTCCCACTGGTGACCCATCATAGTCAATGTCTTCTGAGTGAATTCTTGATCAATTGATAATCCAATTAAGGGAAGACCCGAAACACCAATAGCGGCCTTGTTGAGGACAAGTTGAATAAAGGAAGCATAGCCCAACGTTGTTCCTCTACCCGAATCTTTTAGATTATATACTCTACTCGCAAAGTAGTAAGGCCAATTGATCCTCATTTTGTTCTTGATAGCATAGACCAAGTGCACCTCAAGCTGATCAACTCTTGAGTATCCACGCCTCTTAGGGAGAATGATGCGAGAGACAATCCACTGTAGAATACGATCAAGCGGTTTTATTGCACCCACTGTTCTAGGGTTAAGACTTGAGTAACATGAGCTTACCTCTTTAGTCTTCACCATTTTATTTATCCCCATAATGTTCCATGATACAATCATGGGACTTTTAGTTGACTAGCTAGAGGATCATTTAAAATATCTAGCAGTCTAAAGCCATTTTGACGTTGTATCCGGTTTGAAGTTGATGCTCTCCAAGCCACACCGTTTCCTCTTTCTTTTCTTGTTTGAGCTATGTGAGTCCACACATTTTGTTCAATCTCTTTTGTCTCCTCAGTGCTTACCTCATCTTTATTCTTCTCTTTTGATTTTTCCTACACAACTTATTTAGCCTTTCAATCCTTTTGGGGTTTCTTTTTCTTAGAACAGTCATGGCCAAAGGTTTGACAGTTTCCATAATAGATAGGTCTCCACTCATGCACAATAGCTTGTTGCATACTATTACCTTCAGTGTCTCGAATAATGATTGTTTTGGCAAGCTCCTGTGTAATATCCACCTCAACAAGTATTCTTGCATAAGAAACTCGCAATTTGCTAAAATTTGCTAACAATGCATTCATCAGTGACTATCGGGTTCCCTAGAGCTCTCCCAATCTCCCCCAAACTAGTGCCCCCCCCCACAGGTACAATGGCAGTTGAGGGAATTTCACCCATATAAGGACTGTGCGCATCATATCTCGTGTAGCGGTGAAAATCGGAGATCGAGCTATTAATTAACTCGACTCGCAAAAGCAAGAGTCGCCACCGCACTTTATTATTTCCAAGGGGAAAGGGAAAAGAGCGAAATAAAACCCTAAAACATGCAATGTAAAATAATACTTAAAAGTAATGAAAATACAGTGCATTTTTGAAAGAGATCAAGAGTTCGGGGGTTAGTTATACAATGGGAAGGTATTAGCACCCAATGCATCTGCGGTACTCCGCAGGAACCTTTTGGAATATCTGTTTTTGGTTAAAATTGATTGTTATATACAAGGGTGTATTTATCTACAACTATGTTTGCTTAAGGGGAAAGAAATGAGTTTTTATTATTGCGTTCATGAGGGTTTCGCGACCCTTTGCCTACGTATCCAATGAAGGAATCAAAACACCGTAGTTCCTCTAGAAAAAAGTTGATTTGTTTGTGTTTTTTAGTGGGCGACATTAACGCACGCATTCTAGCAATAGGCACGGTCGGTATCGCGGTAGAACGGAGATAACATGCCCTTGGGGGGAGTTTTGATTTGTTGAGTGTTTTTGCATGTTTTAAAGTATATTCAAGTAATGGTTAAAGAGCGTTTTTTTGGATTTTTTTGGTTTGTTTACTTGTTGATTTTATCTTGCCATACACGCCTAATTACTAGCATTTATACAAAGTAAATAAAATGCAGAAAGATAAAATCCTACGCTATTACAACCGTATCGAAAGGCATAAAAAATATGAAGGAAAAAAAAGATAAAAGTAAGAAAAATGAGTGTCTTTCGATTCGGGGGAAGCAGCCTTCGATTTGCATTCTGTTGGCCTCTTTCGATTGGGGCTGGCAACAGCAAAGTCACGTCTTTCGATTAGGCTTTGGCAGGGGCGAGGTCCTGTCCTTCAATTAGGGGCTGGCACTAGTGAGGTTCTATCCTTCGATTGGCCTGGAAGTCAGTGTATGGCGAAGCCTTTTGATTCTGCCTTGTTGCCTTCTTCGACTGGAGGTTGAAAGCAGTGAGGGAATGCCTTTCGATTGGACATGGTTTGCCTCCTGGTTGTCTCTTTCGTTCGACCTGGAGAAAGAGGGTAGAAGCCAGAAGCTTCGTTTCCTATTTCCTGTTTCTTTCATTTAAAGCATTAAATGACAACATGGCCTGAGGCCATGCTAGTATTTATCTTTCAAACAATTTAATAATTAAAGCTAGTCCAGGTAAACAAAAAGCAAAACGAAAGGGTTAACTTTTAAAAACATGTTAACAGGGTGGAAACGAAAGGAACAATGGTATATACATGCTTGAAACGAACAAAAAGATTATTTACATGTTATGGCATGAAATGAAAGGTTCAAGGGTAAGAGTGACTTACCTTGATGGAGGCTTTGAATGGGTGTGGGACCTTGAGTGGAGGCCCAGGGTTCTGGATTTGAAAGAGGGGGCCAACAGTTGCGCTGTGAATGCTAGATTCGAAGGAAGGAAAGAAACAAGTCTTACGTTTCTTTCCAAACTGGATTCGAAGGATACTGAAGAGTATTTGTTCTTCAGAATCGAAGGAAGTAAGTATGTGATTCTGGGTTTTTTCTCAAAGTGTTGAAGGGACTTGAGAGATTTTTTGTGTTTGAGAAAATTTGGGAGATTCGTTCCTCTGGTCCAAAGATCCTCCCTTAAACATGTGTTGGAGCCTCTTATTTATAGGCAAAGTTGGCTGAATTTTTTTGAGGGAAAACAAAATAATTTGAACAATTTGGGTAAACTGCTCTTTGTAGCCTTCGAGGGACAGTGGTTGTATGTTATTTTGGTGAAAGAATGGGGCATTGTTTCAGGACTGCTGTGCAGTAGTTTTTGGCCAGTGTACCATGTCTGAACTTGGCATCAAGCATCTTTGAATATTTTATCCTTTCATTTTGACCCTCCTTCGACCAGATTCTTCTTCCAACACATTGTTTGACTTTCCTCCAACAAGTGTCCTTCGAACGAATCATCTTTGTGCATCATTTGAAGGGGCCAAATGTGTGCTTCGAATGGACTAGTAAGGCGTACCCTTCGACAGGGACTCATATGTATGCCCCTCAAGTCCACCACTATATGTCTTTTGAGGGGGGCATCAACCATGTGCTGAAGTTTGTCAAGGATGGAAATGCATCATACTAAAGAGAAATGTTGTCCCGTCGAAGCTAGTACAAACATAGTCGAAGCCTGCATGGAGGAGGTCTAAACTTTGTGACTCCAAGCAAGCACACAAAAAGGTCAATGCTCAAACAAAGACTTGCACGAAGGGAGCCACATGCCCAAACGAATCTTGGATCGAAACAAATATATTGCCCAATCGAAAGCCCGTGTTCGAAGGAAGCAATGTTTCCCAATCGAAGCATGTGGATCGAAACAAACATATTGCCCAATCGAAAGCCCGTGTTCGAAGGAAGTAAAGTTGCCCAATCGAAGCATGTGGATCGAAACAAACATATTGCCCAATCGAAAGCCCGTGTTCGGAGGAAGCAATGTTGCCCAATCGAAGCATGTTTGCAGGCAGTAAACTTGTCCAGTCGAAGCAGGCTTGCAGGCAGTAATCTTGTCCAATCGAAAGACTGAATCGAAGGAGACCTGTCAGCACATGAAATCAAAGAAACAAAAAAAACACACATTTCGTGCTTGATTAGAAGTTAGTGATACATAGGCTAAGAATGTTCAAAACACTTGAC